TGTCTCTCTTTTCTCATACAGATAAATCAAATGTATTTAAAGTAACATGTTGCACATTAATGGTACCACATTTACTCGTAATACATTTTATTACAAAACCATTTTTTAAAAAGTGCCTGTTTCTTCAATAAAAACAAATTGACATTCCATAAAGCATACAATGCAATTACGCAACATCTGAGGGTTAATTTCGAACCCTTACTGGATCAGCTATGATTTTTTCTTCAATATAGTGTTTAATGCAAATGTTGTCCTTTGTGTTGATTATAAAATACAATCCTTGATGTGTCAATTGCTAGTGTTTCCAGTGACTCAAGGATCATTCATATAGATAATGGGACCCTGATCTCTGTGTAAACACCTATTGGAAAGGTTTAGCTTAGACTGTGAATGGAACCCTTTTTTCAACCTACAAGGGCACAAGCTACACCATCAGTTAGCTAAATCTATCTTTGCAGTGACTCTTTTGCTCTGGGCTCTGAGCTTTACCTAAATGTGGCTCGCCTCCCCGTTTTCTTTTTTGGTTATGTTGAGGGCTTGGAGACTGGAAAGGGGGATGCACCAGATTTTTGGCTTAGTTGTTTCGTTAATGTTAATCTGATGTTCTCCTGGTTCAGTTGATCCTCTTTAATTGTACTTTTAAAATGTGCTTGTTCTTGTCCTCAATTATATTTCTGCTTATCACTGCTCTGGCTGTTGCCCTGAGTTTTACTTGCAGGTTGCCACCTTGTTCTGGATGCTGAGGATGTGCCACTGGCATTCCCAGCAGACTTGCCTGTAGCGCCAGAGCTGGTTTATAGTTAACCCATAGTTACCATAGATACCAGTTATGTTGTGCATGAACCCACCATTCGGAGTGTAGTAAGTCTGTACCCCCCCTCAGTGGCCTCCAAGCTCAGTGGGACCCCTATGGTGAAGACGACAAACTAGCTAACTTCCTTACCGTGAACCCCTCCCCCAGTTGGAGTCATTCTTATTTGGTGCTCAGATGTAAAGTGTTTAATTACCACTGGCCCCCTGTGGGTGATGTTGCTACGGTATTGATGTCAAATCTCTCCCCCATGGGGTGTCTTACCTTTCACATTTGATATGCTACTGATGTTCACTGAAAATTCTGTTGAGTAAGATTGTGCCACTGTATGTTATCATTAGAAATCTGGCCACTAGCTTCCTGCGTCCCCTCCTTCAGGCTTGTGTATTGTTAACCCCCTTCCCTGCATAGGCCAATTGGGTGGATCGCATATCTCACCCCTCACCGATGTTGATTTTGGTAAGCGACTACCTGGGGAAGACCCCTCCAAGTTTTTAGGCATATTTTAGCCTACACTTACTTCTATTTCTCTCATCCTTACTCTCTTTCTACCTCACTTTCTTTAATGTCCTCCTACCCCTTCCTCCCTTGTTTCTTACCCCTCTCGCCTACTGCCATATCATTTGACTGTTACCTCTCTCATATCATCAATGCACCCGGTGATCAGTAATTTTCCTTTACCTCATATAATTCCAAAGTTGAATAACCCCAAAAAAAAATCTAGATTGCTTAATGATCTGGAAGGTGCATGTGCACATAGCATTTATTCAGGAGATTCCCCTTTCTCTCTGAATATGCAGAGATTTTCCAATCATTGCTTTCCTATTTCTTACCATAGTCCTTCTCCCTCCGGTAATTACAAGGGCATCAGTATTCCTATCTCTAGACAGGTCCTTTGGCGTGCAAGCTCATGTTGTGACCTCATGTAATCTTAATAGTTTATAGTCTAAACAGTTTATTCCCGATACTGCGATCCCCATTGATGAAATCGAAAAGTGCTATCAAATCCCCTTGAAGTGCCTCAAAACTGAACTGAATACTCAAGGTGAGGCCGAACCAATGATTTCTAAAGTAGTAGAATTATGTTTTTCTTTCTTGCAAAAATTAATCTTTTAATGCAGGATAGTATCTTTCTTGCTTTGCTAACTGCAGATTGCCATTGCATACTATTGCTGAGTCTGTAGTATATAATGGACCCAAGCTCATTCTCCATCCTTGACTTTTCCAGAGAAGCACCTCCTAGATAGTAATCTTCATGCATGTCCTCCTATATGCATAACATTTTTCAATATTGAATCACATATGGCATGTTGCAGCCCACATCTCAATTTTATCTAGGTCTTGCTGCAGTCATTTTATTTCTTGTTGTGAAGTTATCGCCCTACATATCTTTATCAGCCCTACATCAGCAGCAGACACTGATATTGAGCTATTTATTCCAACCTCTGCATCATGAATAAAATAAACTGAATTGATACCAGGACTTAACCCTGGTTCACTCCACTCATGACTTTTGACCATTTACAAAATGAGCCATTTATTACTACCCCATGGATTCCTTCTTGTAGCCAGTTTTCCACCTATGTAAATACAATTTCATCAATACTGATAGATCTCAATTTGTAAATTAAACATTTGTGGGTTAATGTATCAAAAGCTTTAGCAAAGTCTAGGTACACCACGTCTACTGGGCTGTCTCTATCTAAATTACTAACTTCCTCATAGAATGTTAATAGGCTGGTGTGGAAACCAGGTTACCAGGTGTACATCTTGTCCTTTTTTTGAATATTGGTAGCACATTTGCTTTCTGCCAAATAGCCAATGCCATTTCTGTTGTTAAAGTATAGGAACAATGATCTCGCTATGACCTGGCCAAGTTCTTTGAGGTCTGTAACGAACTTACCCGTTCACGGTCCAGCGCTGCCTGGCGGGGCCGCGCACGGCCAGCTCGGCAGCTAGCCCCTCCCCTTCAGGGCCGTCCAGGACTGAAATTAGCTCCGCCCCCTCAGGTCCGTCATGAACGGGACCCAGCTCCTCCCCTCCGCGCTCGGCGAGGAGGGATTTAAGGGAGCTGAATTGTTTGTTCAGCGTCCGACCGTTGTGAACGGTGCACGCTGAACAAGACGAGGATTTACCCATTGCAGCACCTGCACCTAAGGACCCAGCAGCAATCACCCAAAGCGCAAGTAGCCTGAAGGCATATGAGACAGTATCTGCAGGGTTGCTGACTTCTATTCTTAGACACTTTTGCTGGAGTACAATTGATTGTGAGGTGCTGTTGATGATTTAAACACTATGAAAGGATTGCTAACATAGCCTGTGCCTCAGTTCTCATATTCCTGCAATAGACTGCTAACCTGCACAAGACTGATTGTCTCCTGCTAGAGCTATACCTGTATACTGTCATACCTTCAATAGTCTACTAACCATAAGCATTACTGAACCTGTGGACATCAACTGTGAGGGGATTGCCTTCACGGCCTGTGCCTCTGTTTCCACTTCCCTGCTAAAGACTGTTAACTAGTTAAATGCTGTTTACCACCTGCCGGAGCTATGCCGGAGTGCTGTGAATGTTAAAAGCTTGAACAAGGAAGTTACTCATTGCTAGGAAACATTTCCCGCACACTTGCTGGGACTGGAATGGATCATTATCTTTAACCACACAACTGAGTGACTAAAACCTGCTGTAGTGACATAGTGTGATCTCTGTGTTGCGTCTCCTATAAACACTACCGGCCTGCTGTGCTGTGGACGCAGGTGTATTGGGGGGATTCACAATACTCAGTTCACCCAACTAGAGCAGGGAAACCAAGAGACCCTGTAGCACTCACCTACTCCCTCTCCTCTGCACATACTAAACTTAATTGCCCAAGTGGCAGGGAATGATGTGAATTGATTCCAAACCCTCCTTCAAACACTAAATAGAGTGTGAAGGAAGGAATCAAAACTGAACCCTGTCATTACACCAGTAAATCCGCAGTTGAGCGTCCAGTTATAGCCTCACAGGTCCTTACAAGGTCTCATATATGTAAACCATCTTGTCTTGGAGATCTATTTACATTAAGTTATTATAGTCAACTTTTTCACTCGGATCTCGGTCAGCCACTGAGGTACCCTTAAGCTATTGTTATTAGAATTAATATCTTGTTTATACAGAAGAGACTGACAGATTGAATAAACTGAAGAGAAAAATATATTTAACACATCTGCTGAATCTCCTCCTCCTCCCTTATGTTCAGGGACCTGTAGCATATATCCGCTATTAACCCCTTCGCGACCAATGATGGCATTATTCCGTCATGATCTTTCTGTTCGTTAAAGACCAGTGACGGAATAATTCCACGATGCGGGAAAATGAGCGCTGGTCCATTGAGGAACCAGCGCGCATGGGGTTCATGCTGTTGCTGGGTCCCTCGGTGTCCAAGGCAGACCCTCAACAGCAAATTAGGGGGTCCTCGCACTGTGATCGCTGCTATAGCTAATCGCAGTGATCACAGTGCTGTTACAGCCACTGCTCCGGCTCGTAGCCCACTGTGTTGTGGAGCTACAAGCTGGATCAGTGTGTTACAAAATATCTCAGTGTGTTACAAAATGCCCCCTAGTTTTAAAAAAAAGTTTTTTAAACAGGTTTTAAAATAAAAAATAAATAAAACTAAAGTTAAATAAAAATATGTTTAATAAAAAAATTATAAGAAAATGTTAGAGACAAACATGCCACATTCTAAAATTGTTCCACACTAAAATTGTATTTCACTCCTTGTATTTTGTGACGTATAACTCCCAAAATAAACTGAAATCCCAGAAATATGATATACCTTACAAATCAGGACAAAAGAATTTATTATGAAATACTTTGTTAGCTACACTAATTATGTACACATTATTATTGCCAATACAGTGACCAGTGAAAAAAGTGGGGGTTTTGCCATTTGTATTAAAAAAAAATTTATTTGTATTAAAAAAAAAAAATAGATATATGCATATCTCACATCAAATTAAGGTCCATTTTGTCCTGTAAAAAAAGGTATATAATATGTGTAGGTGTAATGAATGTGGAAGCTGAACATTATGGTTAAACAAACACATAGCAAAAATGGCAAAATTGCTCAGATCCCCAGGAATCAAAAGATTTTCTGAAGCTGTGTCACTCAGGGGTTAACGTACCATTTTCTATTTTTGTTCATTTTTATCTCTAGCCTTAAAGAAGAACTGTGGGGAAAATATTTGTATCAACCCTTGCAGTGGGGCTATTGCAAGGATTACCTGCTCATTTGTGTCTAGGTGGTAAACACTCACCTGATTATTCAAGGAGACTTGTTCTAAAACCGGTCCATATAGCCTATCTCCCCCTCTGCTGCAGCAGTCTAAGAATCTTTGGGTCATCACATTCTATACGAGTGTACAGGAACATTCCATCTGTGCAGTGGAGGAGGAGACCAGCTCCAATAACTAGAGAGCAGGGAGCTGGCTCAGTAGTTCGCTGTGAGTATAACTTTTTTTTTTGTGATTGGCGTGAAAGGGAAACAGTACAGTAGTGATTATATTGAAGTGTCCAGAAATGTAGAATGTGAAAGTAAATATTGGTCACATAATTTCCCTTTTGGGCAAGGTTGCGTGACTGAAAACCCACATTTATTTATGAATAATACATAAAATTGACCAGAAACCATTACTCCTGTTGGGCAAAATTGCCTAATTTTGTCAAATTAACTTCAAGATCTTTGAAGGTTTTTGATATACTGTTTTAACATGTTTACAGAGTTTATATAGTTTACATACATACTAGCCCTATCTCTTATAAAGCATATTTATATTACATAAAGCAGAAAATGTATCATGTATGCATTGTTCATACATTTTCCTTCCTAGTTGTTTTGGTCATTGGACTTTGCCGTTACATTTACAGAGATATGCAGGCAATATAAATGCATAATAGCATTGTAGTCCTGCTCCATTAACAAACCAGCACATTCCACAAACAGTGAGTTTTTTTAAAAGCATTGGCACTTTTTTTTCATGGGAAAAAGTAGGTGCTTATCTGAAAATGTAAGCATGTTAAAAAATGCCCATGTGCCTAGACATGAATTTCATATAATACTTACGAATCCACTTGTATTTGCCAATATCCTTGAACGGTTACTGGCACCCATTTTAGCTGGCCAGAGAAGCGGGATGTGTCAAAGCCACCCAGCATCAGTTCTCCACCTTCTGCAGAGTTCGAATCTCTGGAAAAAAATGAAATACATATATATTTAATTGAAGAGAAACCTGTAATGGGTAGGAGTCACAGGGATGTTTTCGGTTGCAGCAATCTTGATTTTGGTACACCCACTTCAAGACCAGCATGTTCATCATATGGTTGTGAAGTAGTTAAAATGGATACATGAATTAGTTTATACAAATTTCTTTTTGAACCTATTCACTTCTTATGGACAACCATTACATAGGTTTCCTGGTCTTTGGCACGGCACCTGATATCCTGTTTTAGGGTGGCTCTTTTCAATTGCAGGGTCCTATGGAGCCATTCTTGTGTGTGCTAGTAAGCCGTGTGTGTCTTCAGCCAGGTGTTTGGAAACATGATGACTGTAAGTGCTTTGGCAAATATGTAAAGAAATGCTTTACAATGTATTTTTGTTTGATCTGGAAAGCAGTTGCAAAGGCAGCAGTGGCAGATGGCCACTACGGGGCCCGGGGCACAGGGGGGCCCGGCCAGGACATCCCCCTGATGCCGTGCGGGCGGCCAGGGTCGCTATGGCATCTCAGGCTGCTGGCTGTCACCGATGGCTGTGAGGAGGAACGCACCGCTATTCACAACACTGACAACCTGTCAGTGATGTGTGCAGCGACGCGTTCCTCCTGACTGCTGCTTCTGAGTCGGTGACAACCAGCAGCTTCATAGGAGGTGGTTGGGCCTGTTGTCGGCAGTGACGGAGGAGGCGGGCCGGCGACAGAGGAGGTGGGGCCTGGTGATGGAGGAGGCGGGGCCCGCCAGCGACCGTGGAGGGGAAGGAGCCGGACAGAGGATAGGAGCTGATAGGTAAGAGGGCTTTACCGCCCACTCGAGACCCTGCAGAGCCCACCATAGATAGTCTATGGTGGGCTCTGCAGGGTCACCCTCAGATGGGCTGTTTGGGATATCAGGTGAGTGTAACTAGAAATCACAGGGCCCCATACAAAATTTTGACATGGGGCCCTGTGATTTCTAGTTACGCCCCTGAAAGGCAGCATATACCCCCTAGCTCAAATGGTACCTCCAACAGTGCCTCTTTACCCATTTATGTGTATTACTTAAGAACAACATTAAATTACCTTTGAATTCAATTGTTTATATGCGTTCACATGTAACACTTGGTGCTAGAGCGCAGTGGGCGGAGATTTCCCAGCCTCAGAGACAGCATGCTTTGGCAGCATAATTTTGGGTGCAGAATTAATTCTCTTTTATGATTAACACATTATGTTTTGTTTTAAAATAATATTTGTGATCCTAATAGGTTGGACTTGATGGACTAATGTCTTTATTCAACCTCAAATACTATGTAACTATGTATGTAACTATGTATTGAATTTGAAGTTCTTTATAAAACATACATAACGAACAAGATAAATAAGTAGGTGAACTGGACCGTTTCGGTCAATGTTACATTGTATACAAATTGGAAAACCTATCAGGTTAAGTAATAGGGAGCAATGTTTCCGTTTTAACCCGGATGCATATGTAAACCTGTACAGGATGGTGAACTGGTCCAATCTTCACCCTGTGCTGGCGAAGGAAGAAA